GGTGCTGTGTATTTCTTACTGATCGCAAATTTCTATAATGAGTCGCATGGTTTTCATAAATATTACAATCGGATGTATCCGATATGGTGAGTGACAGATAGGCGCTGTGTGCCTCTGGAGGGGCCTCTGTCCAGCTGGGCCAGGTCACGTGTGCTTGTCTGCGCCGTCTCACCGATAGAGCGTGACGTGTTCTGACATGACTGAACATGTCGCTCTCTTTCCTGGACAGCATGACGTGACTTTGTCGCGTCAGAACTTGACCTGCTGGCGAGTTGGAGAGTGGCACCTCCAGAGGCACGTCGCGCCACAGAGTATCCAAGTTGGTCGGATGGATAATATATCATTGCTCTTTCAGGAAGGTCCTACCGATAGCATTTCTCAGTGTGTTCGCAGCAACTCACGGTGGAGGACTCTCGAAAAGGGACCGCACAATGTGCGCGTTGGCGCTGTTCTTTGGTGGGATTGGCGACGTTCTAATAGGTCTCAGTGAAGAGGGAATCGTGACGGGAGCGATCGCATTCGGAATTGGACATCTGTTCTACCTGGTAATTGACCCTTTTCCGGCTTTTAGTTTCCAAAGAAATCCTCGATGAGGTGGTGTAGTGGCAAATCACGCCGCTTACAGCGTTCGCGGTCCGGGGATCATATCCCGCATTGGCTTGCACGCGGACTAACTGAGTCTTCCATTCTTCCAGAGCCGGTTTCTGGTAACATACTCGTCTGAAGGACAAAAACACTGACGCGTACAACCTAGTCTGCTCTAGGGATTACGGCTGCTCATGTAGCGCGCTTAGTGGTGCACGCCTCTGATCAGCTTTTCGAGAGTGGGAGGGTGAGTGTCGAAAACACTTTATTATCATCGTTCCCCTCAATCTTCTGCTAATATTGACTGTAAGAGAACAGCACCAAAGGGTTTTTATTACCTCAGTGCTCAGTGATTCTGGCACTGACTTATTTGTTCCAACAGCGTGAGCTGATTCTATTTACACAGGGCGAACACGCAGTCACGGGTTTCTAACTGTACAGTTCCATGGGGAACCTTTCTGAAACCGTTCAAGGGGACTAAGCATTTACGATTGCTGATGGTTCATTTGAGACATGTAGAAAGATCAGACAAGGTTGCCACTCTGTTCCGTCAGGTCAACTTAGGCCAGGGACCTTCCCCAGTGCCTTTGCTATTCTCCACAAAAAAACCCTCATGTTAGTTTTCCACAAAAAGACCATCATGGGATTCTTCGATTTCCCCGTTCTGTGACAACATTGTGTATCACGAGGGCGCGTTAGAAGCTGGGGAGCTCCGACAGTGGATGGTTCAAGAGTCCTCAGAAGGCCACATTAGCCTAAATTGGAAAGGGTAGTTTCTAAGAATTCCACCCCACATCTACTTCTTCTTAATGGTCGACGTACGTGTAGTAATGGGGAACGGAAGATAGAGGGTGGCT